ATGCAGCAGAAACCCGAAGCCCCCCTTTCTTGGCAGAACTGAGGCTACCATGCAGCGATCCGCTCCTGTGCGGAGGGCCGGCTTTGGCGCCAAGTGATGGTGCCTGCGGCTGCAGGGTTTGTGTTGCTTGATGCTTCTTGGTGCTTTTGATCGCTCTTTGCTTCTTGGCAAGGTCCTTGCTTTTCCTGGGGTCACTGCAGGAGCGCCGGGAGTGGTAATGCTCTTGGTTACATTTAGGGTGGCAGTCCTGGCAACGGCGTATGCGCATGCATGCGCCGCATGCAGAGCAGCAGCCTGGACCACGGACGTCCAAACGAAGCCTTCAACCCAAGGAACTCTACGCGGAGGCCGCTGCCGCGAGCCCTCGCGGGCAGGGGCCCTCAGGTGATGGAAGCTTGATGGGCTTGTAAAGATGGTCTTGGGTCTTCGAGGGCAGAGGGTTGAGGATTTCAGCTGGCCGGACGCATGTCATGCGGAAAGCTCCAGAGGCGAGAGAGCCCGCTGCCCAGCCCCAACTCCGGCATGGTCCCTTTTGCACCCGACGAGCCTCGAATTGCGTTTGCTGGGCATGCGGTTGCGCAGATGTTTGCTGACGGTTGAGCGCGCTGTATGTACCAATGCTTTTCCGAGATGTGGGGCCCTAAAGCATCGACTCCCCAACCTCCCTGGGCCCGACTTCACAATCCACGCTCCAAACTTCAAGGCCGAACTTCACCGAGGTTGCCAGCGGCCTCTCTTGAGGGCTACAACTCGCTCCTACATTCGGCGGAGAGGCCATTGGGGGGGGGGGGGGGGGGGCGGCACGCTGGGGCGCGGAGCATGACCCGAAGCCCCATGAGCATCAAGGCCGAGGCTTGGCCTAAGCCATGCCCTCGGTTTCTGCCTGCTGCGCAGGCGGATGGCGCAACAAACATCTCTAGACCATCCTGAGCCTTGAAACCTCCAAGCCCCCAAGCATGCTTGCTGAGTGCGTAGTGGTAGGCCACGCGACGGACCCCCCCCCCCCCCAAGAACCGTCGGTGTCACGCTATGGAGTCTGCGAGTTTGGCCTGCGGCTGCAGATGCCGTTGTTGACGACTAGCACAGTGTTAGGGGGTATAATGTTGACGGCTAGCCTGGAAACCTACGGACTCGGCCCTCGCCCGCGTATGCCAGTAGAGTTGAAGCCCTGACCGTAAGGACCCATAAGCTCGAAACCCTAAACCCCAGGACTTCGCTTTGGGAGCTGGCAATGCACATCTTCCTTTCCATGGAGAGGCGGTTGCTACTCTGGAAGGGATTCTCCGGTTGCTAAAATACCGCAAAGATTGCGTTTTGCCTCTTGTGTCCGTGCGCAAGAATGCTGGACGTTTCTGGAACCAGACAAGCATGCCCAAAACGCTGGTATTTGTCCTAGCGTTATTGTTTTTGTTTTCCCTTTCTCTCTCCATCTTTTTTTTTTCTCTCTCTCTCTCTCTCTCTGTCTCTGACTCTCTCTTGTGCATTCCACAGCACGAAAATGTTGGGCGTTTGGGCGTCCATTTCGCCTGCAATCTCCACAAAATTTGCTCCGTGATCTGAGAGGCTGCTCTGAAAGAAGTAGTTTCCGCAGCTTCCCAGCACGGAGAGCTTTCAATTTTTCATGAAACGACCCTGCTCGAATCATCCGTGGCGTCTGACGAGCTGTATTTCCAGCGGTCGCAAGTATAATTTCTATTTTCCAATGCTGGTTGGATCCTTTGAGCTAATCCTAGTAAAGGGTTGTTGCGGGCTTAGTAAAAAGGGTTTGGGGGGAGGGCCTCGGGGTTCAGAGCAGGGGGTTTGTGGTTACGCTCTAGGGAGTTCGAGCTCTGCAGGCCTTCTTAGGGAGCGGATGTGATGCGCGTACCTGGCCTGCCATCTACCAAGCTTTTCCCCGTAGCTGTCTGACCGCCAAAAGGTCTCGAACCCCCAGTGCAAGCAAAGCTACCAAACACCGCACACCCCAAACGGCCCCAAACCCCAACCCCCAAACCCTGAACCCTAAAAAAACAACCCTAACAGGGGCGGTGTTGCAGCAGACTCCCTGAGCTATGAAGTGCCTCCGGCACCAATTCAGATAACACTACGCGTCTATGGGGATTCGGGTTTAGGGTTGCGATGGCAATCTCCAGGCGCCCCAAAACAGTTGCACATGAAAGCACCCAAGGCTTGTCAATGACGAGTTCCCAAATCCGGTGGTTCTATTATCCGCTGACTCATCATCGGAATCTGTGGACAGTTGGTATACCAGTTCTTGTAGCAAGAATCGTCTACATTCCTGAGCCAGCAAGAGAGGGTTTAGAGAACACCAGAGCTTGATTGATGCAGCCGATGGAGCTTGAATTCCTGACGGAGCAAGGCGTTCCGGTCTCTGCGTTCCTGGCTTGCTTGGAGTATTCGTGATTATGGTGGTCTCCAGAAGTGGTATGTCCAAGGGTCGGAGAGCCAAGAGGCTGTTCTAGTCCTGTGCGGTTATATACTCCTCGTAGCCATTTCTATAGAGGAAGGTAATCTGGCACATCTCGATGGGTTACAGCTCTTAACCTTGGGATAGCATTCCAAACCTGAAGATACCAGCTATAACTGTGCACCAGCACTTGCCACGACCACAGGCTGTCCTCCGGGCTGATCCGATTTCGTTTGGGGCCATATGCCATGCTCATCGTCGTAATGCTTGCATCTGGGGACGCAGAATGCCCGAAAGTTGTGTACAGAGTCATACAACCGAGGGACGGTCTAGCTTCTTCTTCGTAGATTCATCATCTACGAGGTGTCTTGGCCAGCCTGGCGCTCCGTCGTGCCGAGCGTCAAACCCTCAACCCTACACTGCCTTACGCCCTCTCGGACCCCCGAACCCACCGTAACCCTACCCAGAAGCCGTAGATCAACCGCGACCTGGATGAACTAAGGCCTCGGAACCTAGAATTGGGATGGCCTGCTCTGAAGCCAAGGCTTTGCTGGGCGCCTGCAGGGGGGCTGGCCGGACACAGCTGATGCTGGACATTCTCCGCCCTTTGGCGTGCCTGGCGTGCCTGAAGGGCGCATTGGGGCTTTGCATCTGAAGCTCTACGGGCCCTACGCCTTAAACCCTAAACCCTGAACTGCATAGATAGCTGTTTTCCCATGTCCAAGGCTGACACTTAGAGGGCAGCTGTCTCGATTGGCCGTTTTGCAGCCCTGCAGTATGGTGAGGCTGCTAGGCAGCCTTGAGGGCAACAACTAAACCCTAACCACCCTTTTTCCCTAAACCTGAGCCGTTAAACCCTAAAACCCTTAACAGCCCCAAACCCACCAACCCTTCAACAGCCGAGAGCCGAGGTCAGTACCCACCTCCGGAGACAAATCCCCGGCCTGCCAGACCCCCGCCTCAGCAAGCAAAAAGGCTGCGGCTGGGCTGTCCTTTGCTGATGTGTGTAACGCCAAAAACCAATAAATATGCAGTATATATGGTAATACCTGGGTTTACAGAGCCTATAAGAGTTTAGCACTTGGGTTTCAAGGCTATTGTATCAATCAGCCGTTGGCGCAGCTGGAAGTGCACACATGTCCATGGCCTGAAAACCCGAACCCATCAGCTCAACAAGTTAAACAAACGCCCCTCCCTTAAACCCAAACCTGGCGCTCGGTTTGCCGCTCTTCAGAGAGAGCGCTGCAGAAACCCTAAACCCTAAATCCTTGAACCCCAGCCCAGCCATTTGGGTGTAGGGGTTACACGCAGCTCTAGGATTCATGAGGGCTTGGGGTTAAAAAAACAAAACAACCTTGTGGTGAAGGGCTGATTGAAGGGGGTGAGGGCTACCCTAAACCCTAAACCCTGGCCCTAAACCCTAAACCCTAAACCCTAAGCCTAAACCCTAAACCCTAAACCCTCAACCCTAAGCCCTAAACCCAAAACCCTAAACCCTACACCCTAAACTGCGTGCGCCCCACCCCCGATGCGCTCACCCCTGGCGGCACGGCTGCTGCTCGCGCGCCCGGATGCTCTTGAGCTGCGGCGCCGGGGTCCTCAGATTTTGAGGGGCGTTAGGCCTCAGGCGAATATAGGGTGCAAAAGGGATTCGGTTTGGGGGGCTTATCAGGGGTTTCGGGGCATAGGGTTCAGGGAGAATTCCTGCTCCGAGCCCTGAAAGACAAAGGGTCCCCCCAAGTCTCTTTGCATCCTGTTCGATTTTGCCCCAGGAGGCTTTGGAGGGTGTTGTGTTGTGGAACCCTTTAGTAGCGCAGCCACAGAGCCGGAGAGCCATGTCGGATGCAGCCGGACCCACTAGAAATGCATAATCAGCATTCCCGACAGCCGGTGCGTGCTTTAAGCACCAGTGACTGTACACGTGGCTCCAAAGCTCAGGGATCCGGCCACAGGTGTGTAGCAAAGTCACTGCAGCAAAGAGGAGAACAAGACAGCGCCAAACATCAAGGTCCGACATCTCTAAAACACAAGTGCGGCCACAAATACAGAGAGTCTTCGTTGCTCCAACCACCCGGCCGTCACTTCGCCATGGTTCAGTTCCACACCTCAGAAGCTCCCCCGTCCTCCCACAGCAGTGACGAGTCGATCTCGTCCTCAGAGGAGGCGTGCGTCAAGGAGAGGCCCGCCGATGACGCCACGGAGCAAACCCTGGGCAACGACTACGCGCTCTGAAGCTTGAACGACCTGAGAAAATTTTTGAAACATACCCATTGGGATGACAGTTCTTAGTCGGGGGTACTCTAATCCCTATTAAGGGCTGTTAGTATAAGGGGGAGCATCCCAACATACCCACGTGCATATAGGGGAGTGGTTTGGGGCTTGGGCTTGCCAGGTTCCAGCCCTCAACCGCATTGCATAGGAGCCCAAAAAACCACATAAACATAAGGATCCTTGGGGTATACGGGGCCCTGTTTTAGGGGGGATTCCGAAAAAAAAAACCTGTTTGTGAGGGATTTTTATGTTTATGTGTGTTTTTTTGGGACCCTTGTTGCAAGGCAGGGTCCCCAAGTCTGGCCGCTATTCCTGGGCCTCCATGGCTCTGGAGCAGATGGCGCAGGGCGGCTGCATTGCGAACGTTGTGCTGGGAGCACAGATAGGCTGGGCTCAGAGTCTCCGGAACTGAGTTCCTGCTCAGGGTTTATAGGGGTTTTGTAAAAGGGTTTAGGGCTTGGCGGTCACGGTTCTGTGGTTTATAGGTGGTCACGAGGTGAGGGGCGCAAGTCCCTGACTAGATCCCAAAGCCATTGCAGTCATGCAGCCAACCCTCCGGATTCCAAGAATCCCTCTAGAGCCGAGACCATGAAGGACGGAAGATGACCACCACAGACGCCCTGCTGGCAGTGGTCATGGGCAACGCCATCCTGGGTGTAATGGGCTCGACGGTGGCTTGGATCGGCTGCCGGGAAGGTCGGGGGTGTACCACAAAGCCCCGAAGCTCCACATGCTGCAGACCTAGGACCGTCTAGGCCCCTCTTCCCGTGAGCCCCGAATCGGTTGACCCCCACAACCCCAAACCCTCAGTTCCCTCCCTGAACGGAGGCATGGCCACGGCCATGCTTGGCCGCTGGACCGGCCTCGGCATAGTCGGCGCCTGGCTTCTTGTTGTTTTTGCCAGTGCAATTCTGTCTAGGCTCCAAGCCCTGGAACCTTTCTTTTTTTTTTGAGGGGCCCCTGAGCTCAGTCTGTGGAGGCACAGGGCTGCTGAGCATCATCACAACTGGCAGCTTATTCGGCTGGTTTGGGATCCAAGCCGAGTACCCCGCCTTCTTTAGGGTCACTTGGGCAGGCTGAGGGATTGAGAGGAGGGGCTGTGGAGGATGTAGAGAGTGCCCCGTAGGCCACCTGCAGGCCTTCTAGTTGCCGGTTTTTGATGTGCCGACAAAAAGGCAACTGCACGTTTCGCATTGGATTGTGTAGTTAACCGCCCCGAAATGCCAAATGGTCGTGCTCGCAGCAGGAGCCAATGGCAATTTAGATGGAGAACACTCCACGGCGCATCGCCGCAGTCATTTAGATGTTACAAGTTACAAATGTGCGTTCACGGCGTGACTTTGTTTGCACGGGGGTGTGTTGGCGAGCGAGCATGCTTCGGCCAGGAGACGTGTTTTTTTTCAGCACTTGCGATGATATAAATGGAATTAAAAAAAGAGCTATAATGGCAAAACAACGACAATAACAGTAACAAATATAATGCTAGTAACAAGAAAGGAAATCAATGAACAATGGAACCTGCCAGGATCGCCGGCAATGGCATTGAAGCACTCGTGCACCGGGGCCCGGCGTGGGCATGGGCTCTGGCAAATGGGTCGCTGGTGGGGCTGCCACACGATGTAGGGTTTAGGGTTGAGGGTTTAGGGTTGAGGGTTTGGGGTTTAGGGTTGAAGGTTGAGGGTTTAGGGTTTGGCAAAAACCCAAGCCTTCTGCCTGGACCTCAGCTCCGCGTTCCAAAAAAAGGCTTAATGGCAGAACGGGTTGGAACGGGTGGAACGGGTCCATGACATGTCTACTTCAGCAGGTCCTTGGGTCGTGGTCGCGTAGTTTCAGCATGCAGTCGCATCCCAGCCCTATAAGGTCATCGTCAAGGCCCAAAGCCCACAATCCCATGAATCATCCAAGCACCTCGCGTTTTCAAATCCCCTACTCCTTTCCCCATTATATACCGTGCAAGGCACACGGTTACGGTTTAGTGCGCCATGATAAAGACCCCCAAAGATTCCAACTCGTCGAATCCGTTTGGCCAGGTGACGGTTATCGTCGCCTTTGGCTTTCGCTGGATGGTCGGTGCCTCCTGGATCACAGGCGGCGAACATGGTAGAGGGTTTGGGGCTCTGGTCTAAAGCAAAATCTTTGGCAACTTCTGGGCAACTGAAGACCCTAAACCCTAAAGCCTAAGACAGTTGCATCCTTGGGTTTTTCGGGGTGGTCGGTGGCATCCCTGCGGAGGCCCGGTGTTCCTCGTCGTCGTGATCTGGGCGTGTGCTGTCTCCCTGCAGGACTACGACCTTGCAGGGCACGTAGAGGTCTCGGAGCTTTCTTTGCTGCATGGCGCCGGCGTGGTTGTGGGAGGCTGGGTTGTGGGCACGACGATCCTGTCGGACTACTCCCGCTTTGCGCGGTCGAAGCGGCAGGCAGTATCCATCGTGCTACTTCCCCGTTGCGGCTCCATCACTGCCTACATGCTGGTCGGCGTCCTGTTGGCACAAGCTCATGGGACTGACGACATCATCGCGGTCATGGGGGAGTCTATTGGCATGGGAGCTGTCGTTGTCGTCGTGGCCGGCGAGATGGTCATCAACTGCAGCAACATCTACTCGGCGACTCTGGCCATGGTTTCCTTCTTTGACATGGCCTTTGGATGGCGCATCCCCCGCCCGCTCTTGACGCTGGTGCGCCTGAGTCGCGGTGGCTTCAGCCTACAGGGTCGACACCCATCACCTGGCCAATTTGTAAAAAACCCCTGGAAGAACCAGGTCTAGAACCTGTAACTGGTACCCTATAAGCCTACTATAAGCCCTCAACCCAGACCCCACACCCCATAAATATGCGGGTGGCAAAAGACCGTTTCTACATAAGGGAGCACAATCGCTCGGAAAGCCCGTAAGGTCAGCCTTTAGATCCTATGGGAAACTGGACAGCGTAGGAGCACAGTCCCAAAACGAGGTGCGGCGCCGTCGGCAGTGCCCTTGGCGCGTTCGGAATCCTGCGGGGCTCCTCATCTCACGAGATCTATAGATGTAGCATTTCTATTTATGATTGTTATTCGTTATTTACCACTACATTATTAGTAGTGCATTATGCTATTATTCGTTGTGATGATTGGGACTACCGGGGATTGGGGTTGAGGGCTTTAAGGCGTGGAACTCAGTGCCGGGTTCAAAAGGGCCTTTGCGGCTTGGGGCCGAAAGGTTCCGAACGTAGCTTTGCGGATATGCTGCCCTTGAACGAGAGCACGCTCTGTGACGATAGGAACCAGCCAGGGGGGTGGGCAGTTTTTCTCAAACTCTACAATTCCTCAAGCTCTACAAGCCCTGAATTCGAAATCTTGACTCTTCTGGAGGCTTCATTTCCTTCCTCGACCTTCTCTCGGTGACCTTCCCGCCTGTTGTCGGCATTCTCTGCTGCGAGCATCTTGCCGGAAGAGTAGGGTTAGCTTCGGGTTTTTTGTTGGTGTGGTGTACAAGGGGTTGCTTACACCGGTTGAAGCTTCTGAGTCCTCTCCACCCGCCTCAAACCTTGCGCAACCCTCCACTCTAGAGGCAGGTGCAGGTAGGTAACAAGAACCACCTTAAGTTGCCGAACTGCTGAACTCTGACTTTGTGACTCCCCTTCGTGCGCTCTGCAGCTGATAGTCCTGCAAATCCTGACATGTGATCTTTGGCTAATCCGACGCTCCCGAAGAAGTAAGAAGCAACAATTCCGCCCTTCAGCAGCTGCGCTTCGAAGAGGCACTGGCCCAGAAAGTCGCGAGATTTTTGTGTTCCTCACATGGAGCCAAACACAAAATGCGAAGGGCAAAGCACTCGAGATTTTTTTGTGGTCGCCCTTAATCACGGCAAGCCTTCCCCATGCCACCTTACGCCTGTTGCTCTGGGCGGCGGTGCGTGCCTTCTCTTGGGGCGTTTCACGCATAGTAGCTCCCGCCAGCTCGTATTCCAAGAAGTGTCCTAAGCATTCAGTGAGGTACATCCTTGTCCGGGCTTTCCGCCCGAAATTGGACGAGACGCGAGCTGCTGGAACGATGCCTCAGGCAAGGGGGTATTGCAGGGTGTCTTTCAGGGACAGGCGGAGGCTGTCTCATATCAGACACCATCTCGTCAAAGGTGGTAAAGGTGCATAGAAATAGGCTTCTTGCACTGCGTTCAACGGCTTCTCCTTTCAGAGATTACGTGCTTGAGCTCGAATCAAAGCACATCCAGTTCCCTGAACTTCCAGTGAACTTCCAGAGCCCCTCCTCATTGTCAACACATCCTCCAAGCAGAAGAGGTTGCCCCTGTGCTCGTTCCTACCTCGCTGGTGGCCTGGTTGGCGGCCACCCTGCTGGGGCACTTTGTTCCTTGGGGCACGCCCTACCTCTACTCCCTGCTCCTTGGCTTGGGTTCAGGGTTTAGGCTTAAGCTTGTTTTTCCGACGCTTGCGGCCTTGAAAGCGTCCTGAGCTTGGCCCCCCAAGCCCTCTGCGGATTGCAGAGCACACGAAGCAGCATGAGGTACCCTATACAATCCCTTGAAGGGTATATATATATATATATATATGGATTGCCTAGGGTACCTCATTCCCGCATACCCGACGAACCAACAGTAAGAAAAGAAGAAACAGAGTGGCAGGTTCGGCGGCGCCCTCGTCTATGGCCTGGGAGGCCTCCTGGGCCTGCTCCCGAGAGGCGGCGCGCAGACAGGACAGAGCCCTTGGCCTGGTCAGGGCTGCGGGTGTTTAGGGTTTAGGGTTTATAGGGTTCGAGGGTTCAGGGTCCAGGGTTATAGGGTTTCGGGTTTAGGTTTCAGGGTTTGGCGTGCGGTCTTTGTTTTGAAGTTGCGGGAGGAGTTTCAGGGTTTCAGGGCTTGAAGGCAGGTGCATGGGGCTGCCTTAACGGAGGGGGGGAAGCTCGAAGAGGAAGAGAGCGAACAGACGTTTTTTTGTCCTTAGCTGAGGTGAGCCCTGCCCTGACCCCGGGGCTTGATGGCGCAACGCAGATCTTTCGTCCAATTTGCCTTGTTTCGGCAGCCTGCATGCCAGCATTTGCCAGCCCCGTTCTGGGCAGGCATTGTAAAGAAAGTTTGTAAAGTTGTCAAGAAATGTAGGCAGCCTTGGTCGGCACCTTGTTGCAAGTCGAGGATGTGCTTTGCAAAGATCAAGGCGGGTCCCGTAGGCCCACAGACAGCCCCTAGGGCCCGCAGGGCTCGTAGGGCCCGTAGAGGCCCGTAGGGGCCCGTATAGGGGCCTGTGGGGAAGCACTAGGATTAGAGCTCGTGGCCGGTAGGGCCCGTACTTGTAAGAGCGGTAGATCCCCTGCAGACCCCAGGGCATACAGGCCCGTAGAGGGCCCGTGACCATGCTCAACATGCAAAGAAAGATGCCCGCGCCGCGTCAAGAAAGGTTTAAGCAACCGTCCAAAGACCTCGAAAAAGCCCTACAAACAATCGAGAGACCCTCACTGTATTCTGTACTGCTGCAAGACCCCGAAATAGTTGTAGTTCCTTGTTCCGGGTACCCAGATTCATTGTTCACCGGATGCCATGGCTCCTAGTTTGCAGTAGGGCCCTTTGGGGCCGGCAAGAGGATTTAGGGATCCTGTCAACGAACCGTGAAGACTCCCCCAACCTTGTTAGGTGACCCCCCACTCCTTCTCAAAACCCCCCGTGCATAGAAGGCGTTGTCCCGCGAACTCTGCACATGTTACATGTTTCAAGACCCCCGAGCCCTCAAGATGCGCCAAAGAATCCCAAGCGGCCGAGGCCCCGAGCACCACAATTAAGGCCCAGGCCCGAGACCCTAAACCCTAAACCCTAAACCCTAAACCCTAAACCCTAAACCCTAAACCCAAACCCTAAACCCCAAACCCTAAACCCTATGCGGAGCTGCAATTGGTATTGTAGAAAGGAGTTAGTGTTGGAAGTTGAAAGGGTTAATGAACCCGTAAACTATGTTTGGCTCAAGGATGGCCAGCCCGTCCAAAGAAAAAAGTCCGTGTTTGGGAGTGAGGGTTGGGTTAGTGCCCCTCTACTTGTGTAAGGGTGCCCCTTCCTTGTTGCTCTTATCCGTGTTCTTGGTTGTTTCTTGGTTCGATCTGGGAAATATAAGTTCAGGGCGATTAGGGGAGTTGATTTCCTTCCTTGGTTGTCCCCCCGTAGGTTATGAGCCCAAATTAGGTTCCCTGCGGTTAAGTGTTCTTTCAAGGTTTTTGGGATCAAGAAGCAATGCCTTCTCCGAAGCGATGGCTCCAACTTGCCTCGGATGGTGGACAAGATGGTGGAGCTGGAAATGGTGCAGCTGAGTCTCTGGGTGAAAGATCGGTGTTGGAAGAGGTGATTCCCGGCGCTGAAGAACATCTGGAAGAGGCCTTGGTTGCAGAAAGCCCCAATGTGGGTATGAATCCCAATAGGGATATGGTTAGCAATGCTGAAGCTGAAGGACGTGCTGTTTCTGTATCGCCAAAGCCTGGTGAGAAAAGGAACTGGGACGCGACTGGTGGTATAGATCGTGAAATGGAGGTGACTGTTTTACGAGTGTTGCACAAACACGGGTATCAGCCGTCGTCTTCGACTTCGGGTCGAATGGTAGACCAAGAGTCTCAGACCGATCTGATTGGAGAAGTGCTGCAAGCGGCCCGGAGGCCTCTGAACAAGATCAAAAGGGGTCCATCTTCGAGTTCCCAAGGTGGTGGAAGCGGTCATGAACAGAAGGGTGCGGACAGCTTTGAAGCTGCACCTGCTGCTGGATACGCCATGGGGGAGGAGGAGATCCTACAGATGGAGGCTGAGAGGTTGCGACAGTTGTCCGAAGAAGAGGACGAGATGCGACAGGTCTCTGAAAGGGATGGTTTTCAGAAAGACGAGCATCTGATCAAAGCGTGCGATGGGACAACGTGGGAATGGCACCTCCATGAAGATGGGAGACAATATTATTACTGCCTGGATACGCAGGAAAGCAAGTGGACATTGCCGGTGGTAGGTGAAAAGATGAAGAGTGACGAGGTGGTTGGGTCTCCTTCGGGCAATGAGCTGGAAATGGAGGCGGCACTGGATTCTTCATCCTCTACTCCGAAGACTGAGTCTACGAGGGCATTCCAGGGTAGTGTAAATAGTTTAGGTGAAAAAGATTTTTCCTCTACTATCAGGGATAGCGGTCCTAGGGCTGGTGGTGACGCCCCGACCTCGGGTTCTCCTGATGAGGAGGAGATTCCTGGAAACCGAACAGACATCGCTGGAGCTCAACATCTGGATCGGGAAGGAATGGGAGCACTTTCTGAGGGTGTGGCAGCGGTGGAATCGGTAGGTCCAGAAGAAAAGATTCCCAATGTGGAGATCGGAACTGTGTCGGCTGCAGAAGATCGAGTGGTGGATGTGGTACCTGTCGTTCGGGAATGTGGTCCTGGAGATTTGGAAGACGGAGGGAAAAGGTCGTGTGTTGCGACTGAGGAGGTCTCTTCGTTTGGTGCCAAGGTTCCTGCCATTCAAAGGGAAAAAGAAGCTTCTGGAATAGCTGGAGACACAGAAGATCTGAAAAATGAGGCCTGGAGCGCCAATGATGCGCGGGTCGATGCGCCAGATATTACCTGGAGTGCGAAGGAAGCACGGGTTGAGGTGCATATGGCGTTACGTTCCACGGGCGACTGCAACAATGGGGCGCAGGTCTCCGCAGCAGCTGATGATGGAGGTTCACAGGTGGACGCACTGGTGCAACCTGAAGTTAGCAGCGAGGAACGAAATGACAAGGGCTACACCGGAGCCAATGAGGCAGCTGTGGTCAATGATGGTGGAAATTCTCCTTTGGAGGCCATGGAACCAAAGGATCCTGCGGTGGAAGAAAGCATGCCTGCCGTGGATGATCGACTCAATTGCCCTGCAGTGGAGGAAGATTTGCCTGCTGCAGAAGGTGTGACAAAGGACTCCAATGATGGGTCCACTCCCATGAAGGGAGAAGTGTTGCCGTCTGGAAGTTCGCCGGAAGTCGACACCGAGCGAATTACAGCAGATGAGGCAAAGCCTTTGGCGGAGAAAAAGAGAGGTCCTGAAGTCCAGGAGCACAAAAAAGATGAGCTTGTGGGACTCGTGGAGCAGGACGAGCAGTGTGACTCAAAGGTGAAAACAAAGGATGCGCCAGGAGCCGATGATACAGAGGTGGTTTCTGAAGAGCAAGCAAAGAAAGTGCCCCGAGCGGGAGCCTTGGAATCACCTGGGACACATTGCTATCAAGAGGGAGATGAGATCATGGGTCTAGTGCGCTGCATCAATGGGTATGGAGCCTTTTTGGACCATGGTGATTTGAATGTATTGATTCCTACAGAAGGGAACAATACGTGCTATTTCAGATTTGGTGATACTGTCAATGGAACAGTGAAACTAGTGGAAGATGATGGTACCATAATCTTGGACACCTTTCTGGTTTTGGAAGAGGACGTGGAGGACTCTTCCTCAACGCTGCGGAAGTGGAAACCCAGCGGCTGGAGTACGTGGTGGACGAATCCATGGTATGTTGGTCAGTGGTACCGAGATTCCAACGGTCAATGGGACTGGAAACAGGAGGAAGAGCAATCCGATGAGGAGCTTGTGATACAAGAGTTATCCTCTGAAGAACGAGAAGAAAGACAACTTTATGGAGAAAAGATCTACAAAGCTCTTCTGGAGAATGGAAACGAAGAGGAAGCCTATGTTGGCAAAATTACAGGGATGCTGTTGGGTCGCCCGATGGAAGATTTACAGGAGTGTGTTGCAGATCAGGCATTCCTCAATGCGGAAGCTCGGCGCGCGTATGGCATCTTGCAAAATGGTGGTTGGAAGCCTGATGGTACAGAAAGCACAGGCTTGGGGGAGTTAACCACTTTTTCCCGAAAACAGTACCACAACGCGCTTTTCGAACTGGCATGCAAAAAAAGGAGATTTTCTCGACCAGTTGTGGGTGAAGCGGTGGCAACGGTGCTGAATCAAGGGGAAGATGAGTTTTGGAACGCGCTTTGGTTGGACACCAAGCTATTTTTGCAGGAGCTTGATGGTGCAGTGCAATCCATGAGCAAAAGGGAGAACAAGCCAATGGAAGCCTACATGGACCCTGACCAGTACAAAAAGGCTTACATGACACCAAAGACTGTGTTGTCACCTGGTTACAGCAAGCTGTGCAAGTTCTTCAATCGGGGAAGGTGTCGCAATGGTGATGAGTGTTCCTATGAGCATCGTCGTTATGGTGAAGGTTGGCCAGGAGGAGGGTCAACTGATCCAAAGAATAGCCAAGAAGCTGATGATGAGGATGGGAACATCGGTGACCCTCCCACAGAGGAAGGTACAGTGGATGAGGCACAGCAGGAGCGGGAGGATTTAGCCTTCCGGGCCAAGTACAATTTTGGCAAAGGTGCATCAAAGGGTGAGCCTACGTCAGGTGAGCCAAAAGGTCGGCTGTGTCTGTATTACAATCAAGGTGGTTGTAAATATGGGACTGCATGCAGGTACCTTCACAACGATGACATAGCATTGGAAGGGACTTGGGAGCCCGGCAAATCTTGGGACAATGCTTCCAGGAAGTCACTAAGGGACGCAGGGTTCCACAATTGCTGTTTCGATTATTACCTCCGAGGACGTTGCCGGAAAGGGTTAAATTTCTGCAAGTACTCCCATGACGAGATGTCAGAGGAGCGGCTGTCGCTCCTGAAACACTTGGTACAGGTGGCCAATCAGGTCCGGTTTGAAAAAGAGAGAGGATGGGAGATTACGGATAGAAGCACGTTTCAGCCGCCTGCAAGTGGGGGAGCTGAATCTTCCTCATCCTCGGCACCGAAAGCACTGCAAATGACCAATGTGTCACAAAAAGATGGTGAAAAAGGTACTCTGGATGAAGCAGAAGCTGATGAACAAAAGAATTCAGTGGCTGCATCCACTGGTACTCAGCTTCAAAATCCGGAGGAGCCAATTGAAAATTGGATGGCTCGCAACGCACACCTGTGGGTGTATACCCCTCATGTAAGTGAGG